CCTCGCTCCCACAACTAAACTACAAAGTGAGACGCCCACATTTGCGACTCAAGTAATAACTTGGAAAAACTGAAGTCTTCATGTGACTTTCTTGATTTGAAATTTTGTATTTTATTTCATTTTATACACTTTTTTATGAACTTCCGTTAAGAAACTCCTGTCTATCCCAATCATACCATTAACTGCCTTGAAATGTTTGAGAGCAATTGCCTTTTTATTTTTGGGGTTAGCATAATTTATTGGCCCTCTACTTCCTTATGTTGCAAATCTCTTCGAGGATTAACTGATCAAGCGCCAGAGAGTTAGCTTTTTAGCTTCTATCATGATTCCATTACACTTAGAGTATGAAAGGCAAGACAATATCTTTATACTGAGAGATTTGACATGTGGACCGAATGGCCATCGGTCGTCTTGGGGAGAAAAGTGGACATTCGAATAATCTTAGCCAGAAGTGCCTTGCTGCCCCTTTTACAAGTATATCTACAGCTTAGTTCTCATTGTGGCCCGTAGTCTCTTGTTTCTTTCCCAAGAGAGTTACCTACCTCATAAGGAAAAAGGCAGATGATTCGAATGGGGTCCTCTAGTTGCTCTTCAATCGAGTAGTTTGTAAATACGTTGATAGTCAAAGGCTAAATGCGAGGGTTTATTACTACCACGTATCAATGATCACAGTACAGGTGCTAAAATGTCATTGAAACAGCCTGCTTCAATGCCCCCCCCCAAGAATAACAAAGCAAAAGAAGTGAGGCAAAACGCATGAAATCTGATCGTGAAAGTGTCATTCGTTTTATAGCGTATCAAATCAAGATTACCTCGAGATACATCGAATACCACAATTTTCTTTGTATCTCACATGTCTGCTTCAGGACACGCGTTCATAATGCATCTGATTTGGACTCTGGTGTTTTTGATTTACTTTATCCTTGCTTTTAGTTTATATTCGATATCGGTAGCACCGGTTACCTCCATGTAAACCTTTGGCTAATAATCCATCTTTTCATCCTTGAAGACCTTTGACTATTATTTCGCCAGTCATCAAGAAGAATAGCATATCAAAATTCACTCTTGTGCAATGGGATTTCAATTCTTCTTTCCTCAGAGAACTAACAATACCTTTGACACTAATCCGTTACTGCTGAAATCCATTGGTCATCCGTCAGTCATGTGATGGTCCATCAACTCGAGCTGCGCGTAGGGTACTGGGTGTCATATTTGTTTGTAGTATCCATTTCATTCGATTTGGCAAATGGTTTTAGCTACTTCTCTACTGATCATGCTCGTCAGGCACGTGTTGGTGAGAACGACAGTTTGCTTTGCCCTTTATCCCGGCCTAACGGGGTTCCAGCTGACAGTTCTATGAGGCTTGGCCCACTCAGAGTTTTTTCTGGTGAGCTCCAGCACAACAACCTCCTTTCCGCT